AAACGACAACTAGTGGTATTTTCGCGTAGTTGATACGATGGATCATGGCTTGTCCTTTCGTCTCGATAAAATTTAAAAAGTTTAAAAAATTCGCTAGAAAAATTTGCGTGTCTAAAATATGCCGGTGGTGCAATATTCTAATTATCCGCATAACGTTCGTGACTGTATCAGTGATCAAAGGTCCGATGAATATCTTTGAAATAACCCATCGTGAGGAATAATACTGCAGTTTAATATCGAAGTGCTTGGAGTACGATTTTTTATATTACGTACACTTATCGGAAACATCACGACAATGTTATTATTTAAAATCGCCGCTTAGGTAAAGTTTAGATTAGACTAGGACTTTATCGATTAAATATATCATGACTTTTTATGGGAATATTTCGGTAAAATAAAAATTAAACACATCTATATTTTAAATTATCTTAAGTCGATCGAGTGTCGGAAGGGAAATTTTTGAAAAATTTCTGCGTGCAATTGATAATGTATGAGAATAAAATTTTCTAGAAAAGATCTCTTATTATTAATACGATTATATTTATTAGTATGTACGCAAAATATTTAAAAATTCCATTTACTTAAGTGTTTTTGCATTTTTCATTAAAGTAAAATGATGATGACGATCATATCATCATATTTGTAACTTGTAATTGTGATACTATTTATCGTACTATGATTGTATGTTAGTGGTACGATAAATAGAGAGAGAAAGAAGAGTAGTTGGAAGAGAATTTCCAACGAAAAAGACGAACAGTTACACACGTCGTACTGTATGTAGTGGTGTAAACGTGGTGGTTGCCTTCTTGGTTGCCGGCGTCTGCAACCTTGCCCTCTTCCATCCCTCCCCTCTGACTTTCATCCCCTCCATACACCCTGCAATCCATTCGATCCTTTCCCCTTATCTCGATCCAACGCTGTCGCGGTTCTCTTCTTTCTTCCCTCCCACCCTCTGTCTGGCTCCTTCGCTTTGATTCATCGAAGTCCTCGCCCCTCGCCTCTTACCCCGCAATCGTCGACGTTTCCCGGCCTATTATCGTCACTCGTCGACGAAGAACGGGAAAGAGGGAACGCGACGGGAAGCAAGAGGGGAGACTTTCCTTTACCTCCACCAACGAGTGTAGGAGTTTCAATGTCACGATGCGTCGGCCACTGCGAAGGAACTACCGCTCCAGGAATATTACCATTCATCAGATTCGTGTAATCTCCGTGCACGTTTCGCGTCGCCTCGTTGTTAATTGGCTTATACATTCCTTCGCGTCTTTCATTTCGTTTGAATTTCTTTCTTTCGTTTCCTTTCTTTTGTAAGGAGAAATCGGACGACAAAAATAGTCCTCTTCAATTTAGTGTTCGGACAGTTCTACTTTATTGTTGGAAACGATTGAAACGTGTTGCGCATTAACAATTTGATTTAAAGGTGGTAAAATTGTGCGAAATTATCAACTTGAGTCTTATCTTTTATTGACTTTTGTGAATTTCTCAACTATCTTCCAATTATCAAGAAGTTTCTGTAACAGATGATATGAGTTTAATCATCGATATTATACGTTAATATTTGTGTGAGAAGTTTATATTACTAAGCAGTGATATTTTATGTGACAAGTTTAGATTAGCAATTATCATTGTGAAAATTGAGCGTATAATTTGTTAGAGATCCAAAATGCAACGTGGATTTATGAGCGAATTATACGAAAGTGTATAATGTTGTGTAACGATTGCGAGAAGAGAAATCTAGTAAGTAAGTAAGCATCGAATATTAGAGACTTTGATCGTTTCTTTATACGTGTTTATTAAACGTTTTTCTTTCGATGACGTTCCTTCGAGACATTTACAACAACTCCTGTCATCAATCGGTTTATTTATGCAACGAATTAACTGGAATATCATAATGTAACAAGTATGTGTCGATATATGTCTGACGTGTCGAGTAACGATGAGTAACATCATGCATAATTCTTATTGGGACGCCAATGGAATCCTAACCTATACGTGGATTAATACCAACTAAGTTCATTGTAAATCTATTAACTTTTATATATAAATTTTATTTTATAGTATTAAAAGATATAATTTTAATGATGTTTTATAATTATCATTTACATCACAAAAGAAAATATTTCTAAGAATAGCGTATTTCACTTAAAATTTTTCTGTCCGTTTTCCGAATATCTTTTGTCAGCTTATTTGAACAAAATTTTAGAAGTGAATTCCATATTTATTCAGGCTAAAAAAAGATATCTGGAGGTACCTTTTACCTTTTAAATCACGTCATGTTTCATAGAAAAAATTTTAGAGATTTTAGAAAATTTTCAGCTACCTGCCACAATACATCTGCCTGTCAAGTTTCCTTTTCTTGATAAATCCTGCATACTGGTTTGTAACCTCTATTGGGAGGTCTCGATTTATTGTTAATCTTCTACGGTACTTGGTCGTTTTCGATGAATGCGTTTACGGAAAGAATTTATTGTCGGTTTTTCTACAGAAAAGAATTTTTCACTGCTACTTGCTGCGAACATAATATTATCATTTCAATCTTTACACATTTCTGTTTTGTTAAACGAACAATAACGGACCATCTCGTAAATCGTACGTCTTATTGTCACTCAGCTTATTTCTTCTAGTCGCGATTGAACTATCGTTAACGTTTCTTGCATGCACTCGAATCTTTATTTCAAAATGCAGGACACGCTGTCGCAATGTGGCGCTGCAGTCGCGTAATTTATCCGACAGGATTGTTCAGAGGAAATGTTGTACTTGTCGTGCGCAACGCGCGTTACTCGGGTACTTTAGGCTGTGCCAATTTCGAATCAGTCAGGTACCTGAAGTAGCGCGCGCTGCGGCGAAACTGGATCATCGCTTTTTTTCGCTGCAAAATTCAATTACTACCAAGACAAGAAGAGAAAAGAAGAGAAAATAATGGAAGAAGAAAAATGCGAATCTGGAAGAGAGAAGGGAAGAACTGGAGGCTGCATGTTAATTGTACTTCATCAGGTGCTCTGGTGAACTCGATACCCGGCACCTGTTGGAGCGCAATTCATATGACTGTGCCCTGCTACCTTATTTCGTCGTTGCAAAAAAAGATCGATCATCTTAAATGGAGGATGAAACTTGAAAAATACAAATTCGATATGAAATTTTGATCGTTACGTTCAATACGAGAAGAATAATTATTGTAATACGAATGTTCAAATTTCGAATTCACATGTGACAATTGATTCACGAAAGATATGTATATAAATTTATCGCTTGCGTATTTAAAATTCGTACAATGATTATAAGGAACGCGACTGAATAATCGAATTATTTCCTATTTCCTGAATATTACCATCCGTTGAAAAATGCGATCGTTATTATCGATACAGTGTCGGTTAATGGGTGCGATTTAATTTTGAACACGATCCTCCTTTAATCGGTAAATAAAATTAACCGGCGCCCTGTTGTTACGTGGATGAAACATTGTTAGATGAGAGTATCGTTTCTCTCTCGATGGGCAAAGGAGAGGAACCGTAGCCTCGTAATGTCGCGAACTAATGGGATAATGACGTTACGTGGGGTCGCGTGGCAGCGCACCGAGCGAAAGAAACGAGAGAGAAGATAGAATGGAAGAAGGAGAAGGAAGAGAAGGAACCGGAGTAACGCAATTATTCGTCTATTTGCACGTTTCCAATAGAAGCTTCACAGCGTCGAAAAGTGCCTATTTGTACCGAGTTACATTCTTTTTATTTCGGTCAATAAACTTCCAAACTTCTAGTTATAAAACCTGCAATGCGTGTTCGAGAAAACTTACCTTCGATCAATCGCGTTTTAGTTTATTTTTAATTCGATATCTTTATGATCCCTTGTTATTTTAATAAATCTTAATGATTTCTTTTTATAGTAATATATCATCTATAATTTCTATTGGTAACATATGTATCAGTAAAGATGAATCTTAAAAGATGTGATGAAGTTGCTCTGCAAGAAGTTCTATTTACCAAAAAATCATCACATTTTATTTTTAGTGAATGATATAATTTGTACAATACATAATTATGGTAAACGTGTCAATTTTTTCAATGCTTTACCTAATAGATAATATTATACCTAATAGATAAACATGCAAATATACGTAAGAAATATAATCTAGCATATATAATATATCTACAATTTGATATATGACACACCCAATTTTTAATTTTATCGAAAAAATTGACAACAGTTGGATAGATAAAGCATTGAATCATGTTGTGTCACCCGGCACAACACTTGATCAGTAAATATAAGTAATGTCCGTGAAAGACACGTCTACATGTATAAAATAAATTAAAGTGGTATTAAGAGTCAATAGACGATGAAGAACCGTATCAATAAGCTTTAAAAACCGACAGGTTATATAAAGAATCGTGTCCATAAAAGAGTTTTATATCGTATTTCCGGTTTATTAAAGACAGATTATGAACTGTCACCCACATTTAATTTTATGATCTTGTTCTTTTCTTTGTTTTTAATCGTTCGATATTTGTAATTATAATACAATTTTGGCGAATTGATGAATCTAATTTGCTATAAATTTGAAAACAAAAAAGAAATTTTGTTGATTACGAATAAATTTTCTTAAATTATAATATATAATCAAAATATCGAATTTACTATTACATTATCAGAAAACTATCCATTATCATTCTTAAAACAATATGAAATTTTTAAAGTCAAAGAGAATTATAGTTTTTTTTATAACATATAAGTATATTCTTTATGCAAAACTATGCAAATAAAATTTTGCATAAGAAAAAACACTCGATTAATGGTAAAAATAACATTAGCATTAACGAACTGTAAAATTCGATATTTTTGTTAATTCCGCAAAAGCGTATCTCATCTTTGTGTTGGAAAAAGGTAGGGAGAGGTACATAAACACATATTGAAAATGTATATTTTCGTTGTTGATAAAAATTGTATTCTTATAAATAATATTGTACATCTTATACAACATACACGGTCATAAAATGTTTAATTTACAGATTGTTAATAGCTGACTCTTGGTCAACGAAGGGAACCATCGGTAGCCGAATAAACCTTGAAAAAAAAAATCTACAACAGTATTTGCAAGAAAAACTGAAACGTGACACAAACGTTCTTCCGCTGTAAATGATAAACGCGCAGTGTCTCTCAACTCGAATACTTGTATCAGTAATAACGAATAAACTTAATTAAAGAAGACAAACGAGAAATTCATTTCACTGATCGTATTTACGCGAATGTGTGTGTATGTGTGTGTGTGTGTGTATGCGCGTGCGTGTGCGTAGGCTTACGTGTATAACATTCATCCATTTCGTTATTCGAATTACCTATCCTTTTATGGTATTTCTTTACCATAACGTTATGATATATTTACGATCATTTGAAAACCTAAGAACGTTCTATCTAGATTTAAAAACATTAAAAAAAAAAAAAAATGTTTTACGACGGTCACCTCAACTGGCATATCGGCGACTGTAGGAACGCGCCGTTTAAATTGATCCTGTTCAACCTTGACTCGATAGCTTTCAAGTTATTTTCACGTTGCTTAATGGGCTCGACCGAGGACGTCGGGCCTTTCGGTGTTCATCACGCTCGAAACTCTCCGTTTTGCAGTTCACCGTGTACAGTTCGCAAGCGCGATCAATAACGTATCTCTCGTTCGTGGGTCTCGGTTGGACCAGCTACAAGCAATATCGTCTAAATAGATTTCGAATAAAGAAATTTGTCCTGCCGAATATCCTGTTGAAATCGCATCGGCTTCGCGCCACAGTTCGACGCTGTTACATATCATACGAACGACACGTAATCTGGTTAAAAATCATTTCTAAAAACAGCCACGGATTATATTCGAAAAATCGATGAACGAAACGACGCTGACAACGAACCGCAAGTTCTCGTCGTTTCTCGACCGAGGAAACTCGATCTCGGTCCGCGGGTGGCGATTCTTTTTTCCCCATTATATGGTTACGGAATAAGTAATTCGGGATGGGACATGATCGCTCGAAGAGATACTTGATTTCGAACGTATCGTTGCCAATTTCCAATCGAAAATTTTCTCTCTCGAAAAAAAAAAATAGGATTCATTCTCGACCATTTCTCATAAATGTTTTTCGTAAAATTCGAATCTTTCGATGGATCCTCACGAATTTTATCTCACGTATCATTATAACCGTGAAAACCGCGCGAGCAATTTCGAACGGCGAATGGGAACATCTTTCGAGAAAAAGGAGCACGGGAAATGATCAGAAGAAGAAGAAGAAGAAGAAGAAGAAGAAGAAGAAGAAGAAGAAGAAGAAGAAAGAGATCGACCACCGCCCTTGGTCGACACCGGTGAACGAGTGTGTAAGAGAGAGAAATAGAGGGGGAGGGAGAGGCC